TCTGCCCAGCCCCCCCCCCCCGAGGCTGCGTTCCCACGACACGCGCAATGCACGCATCTTGCGGCTCGACGCTCAACAACGGGGTCCGTCCCTGCAACGCGCGCTAGCCCCGAACACGCGTTGCCCGTCTGCAGCTGCCCGGTTTTGCCCCGCGCGGGTCAAGCGTGCAAGCGCCTGCGGGAAATCCAGAGCATCGTGGAGCATGGGCAGAGCGCCCCAGTTCTACCTTGGGCGGCTCTGATCATCCTCCGGGGTGCTCTCCGCCGCTTTACCCCGCCGCTGGTCTTGGGGAGGCGAGGCAGAGGAGTTGGGAAAGACTACTGCCGGGTGCTGTCCCTGGGGCTGCCCTTGAAGGGGGTTTGGAAGCGTCCACTGTGTCCGTGTCCAGACCTGGGCTCTCCGGAGGGTGTGAAGGGCGCCCCCTCCTGGCTGGGCTTGCAACTGCCGTCTGTGATCTCTGCTGTGTATTCTACTTTTTATGTTTGGGATGGGAGGAAGAGGATGAGGAGGAGGAGGGGGGAATTATTCTTAATTTACTTTAAGATGGTTTCCCTGTTCAGATTCACTTGTTCAGATGGGCACCCGGATAAACTTAATCAAGTTCTTTTTGCATTTTTTTAATTCAAATATACTGTTGAGCTTCATTTGAAGGTCAAGAGGGCAGTCAGAGCCTACCAAGTCAAACCATGGTTCTACAGACCCAAAAACACCACCTCCTGACTGTATTGGCACTGTTGATTGTGTTGTTCTTTGCAACTGCTGTGGCTTTTAATGTTGATATCTATAACATATTTATCCGGTTTGTTCTTATTCGCTGGCCGGAGTCACTTGTTGAGGTGAGCAGCTGTACAAATTGATTAAACAAACGCATTATTAAGTTTGGACAAAACTCAGCAGCACTTTTTCGTGCGGCTGCTGATAAAAACAGGATCGCCAACATGATTGCCAACGTCCGATAACGGATATGGCACAACAAGAAGAAGAAGATAAATAAGCTAAGCTTGCAACCATACGGTGTCACAACTAAGATACGTGAAGGCTCCGTCTAATGTGTGAACCCAGCGTTTGGATTGGAAACTGCACTGTTTATTACTGAAATCCTCCCGCGGGCCTCCAGTAGTGGTTAAGTTGTTTTTAAAAAATAAGAAATAAAATGCAATCCGCGGGTCTCTCTCTTTCTACCCCTTCCACTGCAAAATTCCACAAATAAAGCAAGACAATTGGATTTTATAGGGGTTTGATTACCCTGTTCAATTCAAAAATCTTGAATCCTCCTTCATTAGTGCCAGCACTCCCTCGTGTGGGCAAAAACAGAACTAAAACTCCAGTTATAAAATCTGTTGTTTTCCCAAATAGCAATACCCCAAAATTCTTACCTCTGCAAAAATCCAAATATACTAATCTGTTATTTTATTTTATTATTATTATTATTATTGCAAAAAAGGTTCTGGACACACAACATGGTGACTGTGGGCCAATCAGAAAGGGAATCAACTTCCATTTGCAACCAGCCACCATAGTATTGAATAGTGTCACTCATCTAAAAATGATTTCAGGGCTAAAGTGGTCATCGGCAATACAGATTATGCTCCAAGTTGGCCTTTTTCTATGCACTAGTCTTCTGTTCATTTTTTTAAAAAATTAAAATAAATTTTTAGAAACAGGACAGGGAGTATGCTAACGGGGTCATTTGCCGCGAGATAGGTAGCAAATAAATTCGTATTTATTTGAATTATGTTTATTTGAATTCATCTAAATAAATCTGGCGAATGCCAATGAGCATTTAAGTATATGATTTATTTATTAAACACATTTCTACGCTGCCAGAATCAAAGCAACTCTCGGCAGCTCACAGTTTGCAGCTTTCTACTGAAATCCATTTCATGTTGGGCCCAGAGTATCCGCCTATAGATTCTGGTTTGGTTTGGTTTTTAATGTCCATGATTGCAACTACTGGACAAACAGGTAAACAGGGAAAAAAGAAACTAGAAAAAGGAGATAGGTGTGTAAAAATTGGAGGGGGGGGGTAACGCAGGACACAACATCAATAAAGCAGGTTAATCGTGTTAGTGCCCTAAATTCTCATTTAAAGCCATTTTGTTTTTCCCATTATTGAGGTCACTTAAAAAGAGCAGTGAGGTTACAGGATCGATACTGCAAGCATCTTAAAGAGGAATTGCACACACAGGGTGTGTAGATGTTCATCCAGATAGTTCTGATGTTGCCAATCAGGGTTGATTGCCACAAGACCGGCTGTAATCAACCAGATGATGTGGGAGCTTCTGAGTAAAGGATTTATTCATTTGTTTATTGTTTATTCATCCCTGATATGGCCGCCGGACTCAAAGCATAACTCTGAGCAACATAATGGTTGCAGATTAGATGTCTTTACCCTGGTTTATTTATAATTTTAATCTGAGGGAAGGGAATTGACTATCTTCAATGGCAATATGAAGATTTGGTGCCTGGCGAGCACTGATGATGTTACCTAGTTGGGTCATGAAACGTCCGCAAGAAAAACCACCAAGTTCAGAGAGCCCCCCAAGGACCCGTCATTTCAACCCTGAGCTACAAATATTCTCCTTTATTGTCCCATTATTGATATTACTGCTTGACAAGCAAACTACTGTCCCAGCACAACCAGGGTATTAATCTTTAACCTTGAAAATATAAACCACATGTTCTGCAGTAGTTGTCAGAAAGACATAGCATCACATTATGAAGGCTTAGAAAACTACTGTACTTCTCTATCCGCTAGAAGTTTCCCAGCAACTTTAAGATGGGTGGGGAATTCTGAGAATAATTAGCTTGCTGGGGAATTCTGGGAGTTGAAGTCTGGCCATCTTAAAGTTGTTGAGGTTGAGAAACGTGGTGGCTCCAGCCTAGAGCTCTTAGTGGCTACTGTCGATTGTGTTCCTTGAAACGCTCCATGCTAAGCCCAGAAAACTTCGCCTTAAGATTCCTTCTCTAGTGGAAAGTCTTTCCTGAGAGTTTAGCAGAGCATTTAACAAAATACCAGACTTGGAAGGGACCTTAGAGGTCGTCTAGACCAACCCTCTACTCAAGCAGGAAACCCTACACCATTTCAGACAAATGCTTGTCCAATTTCTTCTTTAAAACCTCCAGTACAGGTAGTCCTTGGTTTATGAACACAATCGAGCCCCAGTTTTTTTCTTGCTAAGTGAGACGTTTGCCGAGTGAGTTTTGCCCCCTTGTACGACCTCCCTTGCCATGGCTGTTAAGAGAATCACTGCACCGGTTAAATTAGTAACACGGTCGTTAAGTGAATCTGGATTGCCCATTGACTTTACTTCTAAGAAGGTTGCAAAAAAAAAAAAAAAGGTCCTCACATAAGCCGTCATAAATACAAGTCAGTTGCCAAGCAGCTGAATTTTGATCCCGTGACCGTGGTGACGTCACCACAGTCGTAAGTCTGAAAAACGGTCCCAGGTCCCGTCGTCACTTCGAACGGGCACTAAACGTGCTGTTGTAAGTTCGAGGGCTACCTGGAACAAGTCCGAAGGGACCCTGGAGGTCTTCAGAGTTTTCTGAAACTGTTCCAGTATTGTGCATCAATTCCGGTATCAAATGCAAATGTTGAACGAATTTTCAGCGTCATGGGAAATCTGTGGGCTGACGAACGTAACCGACTGCCTGTACCATCAGTTCGAAGTGAAGTTTGTATATTTTTTTTAATATTTCTCAACATTGTACGGAAATTAAAAGAATTATTCCTTAAACACAAAGAATTGATCAAAGCTGCGCAGTCAAATAAAAAAAATACACACGACGGCAAAGTAAAATGTAATTTCATATTTTACATAGTATGATAATATATTTGATGTTTTTGAATTTTAAGTAAAGTTTTGAAGTGATTATTTTAATACGGGTTAAAATGTTTGTAAGAAAATATGTAATTTAATTGTAAAAAATTTTTTTTTTACTTTTTTTACTACTTAACACCCCCTCCCCCACCGCTTGTCCGCTATTTTTTTGGAAGCAGACCTGGCAACCCTACTTCTAGTCCAGGGGTAGGCAACCTTGGCTCTTTTACGACTCGTGGACTTCAACTCCCAGAATTCCTGAGCCAGCCATGCTGAGGGGAAAGGGAGAGTTTCCAAGCTGAGCCATGCTGGCTCAGGAATTCTGGGAGTTGAAGTCCACGAGTCATGAAGGGGCCATAGTTCCCCCATGCTGGCT